CATGTATACAGCGCACTCAAGCACAGGATGGCGGATTAAAAACATTCTTCTTATATACTACGAAGAATATGGAGCTTGTGAAGCTGGAGAAAGACTGATCGTTATATCTGCCACCTGCCAGACGATACCGACTTTCTTGTGGGCCCCGGAATTAGCGGGTTTGTAGCTTTGCCCGATTCCCACAGACTACAGAAATTCGAGGTTCATATATTTCAGTCCCCCAGAGCCGAGACTATCAGAGTTACAAATCTCAGCCAGTACGATTAAACGATCTCGGGGAGATATCCAGTAGTAAGAGAAGGACAATCCCATTTCGCGTCTAAGTTTCTTCTAGACTTTCACGTCGCTAGATCTGATAACGGCAACCGGTGTATTAGTTAGAGTCGCTGACTGCCGTGCCGAAGGGCCAGGGTTCGAATCCCGCAGAAGGCATGGATATTTGTAAATATAGTGTCTGTGCGGCATAGTATTAAAATATATTATAGCAGACTTATAAAGAGTTCCATATCTCAAATAGCTTAGGACCTTATCAAGTCTAAATCTGGTTTTGGGCATGGCGGTGCTCTAACTATACAGCGGGCCGAAAGTCCTCTAGTGTGGTTCGGTGGAAGGGGAGAGAGGTGGGAGACCCTCCGACCCCCCAGGTTGCTCTTCATCAAAATTGGGGGGGAACTGAGCTAAATCTCACTGTCACCTGTCAGGTGCTCAAGGCTGTTGCCAACGGCAGATGTATCTTGCACTCCTTGCCACGAGGAATTTCATGGGCTTGCGCTGATGTTACTGTCAGACAAGTGAGCATAAGTGACAACAACATAATTTGTTAAATAATGGTAGTATATAACAAGAAAACTGATTAGAACCTAAAGTACCTATAAAGTTCCTCCCCCCTCCAATGGTCAGACGAAATATCGTTCTGTCCAATTCATTGATTTTCTGACAATTCTATGTCCATCATTAAAAGGATATAGCACAACCGAAGAGTCAAAATTTGTCAAAAATGCTATTTAAATTTATAATTAGAAAATGTAAAGACTTTTAAAGTTCAATTAAGCCAATCAGAAGCTCGTATACAGGCTTTTGATTGGCCAAATTTGTTCGTCGTAATTGCGAAAATTTAGCCGAATTTCGCAGTAGAAACCCACGGATTTACGAAATATATATTTTTGTGTTCATACCATAGATTAATGAAGAGGGTAACATAAAACTGACGGATTTTACGGTGTACCGATATTTTGTTTTAAAAAAAGTTCATTAAAGAAGGAAACGTAAAATAAACTTTCTGTTCGATTTGAGGGGCTCCTCTTTGATGTGGGCAACTGCCCCTTTTTCCTTTGCCTTAGTCAAGCTCTGCTTGCCACTAGGAATTTCTTGGGCATGGGCTTACTATAGGTCAGGGAGCATTAGCAACAATAACAACATAGCTAATAACGCCATAAGTCACACATTCGGGAGAGTAATAATATTAAAATAATGTCCGAAAATAAAATCAATTATGACCACTCTGTATTTCAGGAACGTAAGTACTATTCGAAGACTGTTTATATATGCATAAAGCTTCAATCTAGCACTAGTCAGTCCATGAAAATAAATCACTCTATAAAGGGGGGAAATTAAGCTAATACGCTAAACGCGAACGCACATCAAAATACTTTTATCAGATCAGAAATTTATTACTTAATTCGTATAAAAGAGGGGAACACTATTATTGCTTTTATGGTAAATGTTTATGACTACAGTATAAAAACTTTCAATCATTTTCCAATTTCCTTTTTTAAGAGTTTGAATAAATGAGGTGGAGTATAAAATAATGAGCAGATAATAAATGGTAAATAAAAGCTGCATTTTTATGGAAAGCTTAAATAAACTTTTTTTTGTTGTAGAGTTACGTAGCTTAGTGATTAATTTTGTTCCGGTTTGTATTATCCTTTTTATTTTATAGACTTAAAATAAATTACATGATTTCCTTCCATAAAATTTGAATTTCCTATACACAGAAGAAACTTAATCAGTATTAATAGTGAAAAAAGTAGTTAATTTTTAAGGGTTTCTTACGCCGTAAGTTATTTATAGGCTTAGCAAGATGAGTTTAAATTCCTGTTCAGTAGCAATTCCATAAAACGAAACTGTTTCATGGAATTGCTACTGAACGAGTGACACAATTACAGTTGAAAAACTAAAGGAAATTTTATCCGTTGTTAGGGGCCCACCAGCGGCCGAGCGGTAAAGTCGCTGAACACTGGCAAGTTCGGTCCAAGATTCGAATCCCGCGAACGGGCTGACTGCATGGGCGTTTTCGTGGTTTTCCCCATGTGTAACGTGTATATGAGGCAGTTCCTTTAGAAAGTCCTCCACGAAGGCATCCCTCCCCTTAAGCAGATAGCCCTCGAGGCTTTGCCATAATCACACACACACTTATCTGTTGTTACAAAAATCTCAAAAACATAAATGTATCAGAAGCACGAAGCGCACCAATCTAAAGCAAGAAAGTAATTTATAGGCGGTTATATCATGATAGGTGAATACGGTCTACGAAAATTTGTACTATTTTTAAATAGATTACGTTTTTATTCTGTTGTTGTTACTGTGCTCACTTGTCTGACAGTAACATCAGCCCAAGCCCTCGAAATTCCTCGTGGAGGAATTTCGAGGAGGAGTTTACGCCTGTCGTTGGCAAGGAGCGCAATTTTACGCCTGTCGTTGGCAACAGCCCTGAACACCTTGTAGAGACATTAGGTATTTTTGGAAGCAGGCAAGATGAAAAATGAGCAACGCCTTCGCCGGGACTCGAACCACGGACATCTGGAATAAACGCCCAGCGTAAAGAGGAAAGACGGATAATTTCTGCCGAACTATTGGATAGAGCCAGACGTGATCACACATTTGTGTCAACGATTATTGTGATTTTTTCTTGTTTCCTTGTGTGAAAAGGTGACTGAGAAGAAAGCTTCATCAAGATTACTGCAGACATCCAACGGGCTATGACAAATGAGCTTGCCAGCATCGCAGTTGAAGATTTACCCGCTTGCTTCCAAGACCTCCAGAAAAGTTGGCAGCTGTGTGTAGATAGCCAAGGAGACTACTTTGATAGCACCTAGGATCATTACTTGGTAAAAGGAATTTTCTGTTTTTACGACCTATGTCCTGGAAATTTTCTGACAAAGGGTGTATATGCTACATTTAATTCTGGTTTATCTTCCTGTTTCTCCAAGTAACAATACTCTGTTACCGAAAACATGCCACAGCAAGGGGTCAAGTTTACTAAATTTATATTTTAAACAAAAAGGATCATTTTCGGAAAAAGTGAAGAAGCTGATTACGCAAAGCTAGTGATCTAGACTGGACAGAAACCGCTAAAGACCATTTGTTAACTACGTGGTCTTAAGACTTTCAATCAAATATGCTCTCAAGGTATGAGACCCGCTGAGCAGGTCCGTTTCCTGATCATTACTTTAGGCAACTGTGGCGAGTACCGTTGTATGTATTATCGCCAATAGTGACGGTCTTTGCAAGCGACGTGTTGACGGCAAACCTATCCCAACTAACAAAGGAAAACGTTTCTTCTGCGTAGGGTATAACAACTTCAGATCTCTATATATAGACCACCGTCCAACCGGTATCGTGGTGAGCGTCGCTAACTACCGTGCCGAAGGATCCGGGCTCGAATCCCGAAGAAGGCATGGCTGTTTGTAAATGTATAGTGTCGGCGTGGTACGGCGACGCTAAATATTCGGCGAGCCGAAAGTCCTCTCGTGTGGTTTGGGGGGAGGAGAGAGGGGTGGGAGACTCTCGGACCCGTCCTCCCAGGGTGCTCTCCAACAAAATTGGGAACAGAACTCAACTATGCTAACGACAGGTGTATCTTGCGCTCCTTGTCACGAGGAATTTCGTGGGCTTGAGCTGACTGTAGGTCAGTCAAGTGAGCATTAGTCAACAACAACAACATATATAAGACCACAGAATATTACCAACTAATGCTCATGGGGCTACTTCTGCACAAAATTCGATATGTCGAACTCTATATATTTTGATGCTTTTATCCAGTCTTAGCACAGTAGTTCTCCATATTACTACCGTGCCAATTATTTTCTAAAAATTCAAACTGCGGTTGTTGCTTGACTTTAAGTATTATTATTTGTAGGGATTTATATTTATTTTAAATGACCAATTTTATTTAATTTATTATTCTTTCTTATTAGCATTCATTCCCCTAATTGTTAATGCCGAAATATTTAAATTTGGTAGCGCGCGTGAAAGAATGCAAATTCTACTTCGAATAAAGAGTTTAAAAACCGAGGTTCGGTAGGAAAGAGAGAGAGAGTTAGGCAATTGCCGTCACCTCTGCTGCTTAAGCGTTTGGCTCACAGAGTTATGGCTGGTTCGCGTGGCTTAACTGCCTTTACCTGCTGCCACTAGTTTTCGACGGGGGTTTAATATACAGGAATTATTCTGAGCCCTGTAGTTTAGTTCGATGACTTGTACATATCTTCAAATCTTTAATTATTTCATTGATTTCAATTACCGTCCAAGCAGAGGCGTAGTCTGTTAGCGTCGAGTTGACGCATTGTAAATTTTAAAGAGTTAATAAAGGATACTTTTAACTCTTCTTCTGTGCAGTTACTATTTTTACAGTTCTCACATAGAAGTTAATCAAGTGGACTGTACATATTATTTACGTGTTCCGCCACGGAAGGTAGGGATGCCTTCGTGGAGGACCTTTCTTAGGGAAACTGGTGAATTAACACGTTACACATGGGAAAAACCAGGAAAACGCTCATGCAACCAGACCGTTCGTGGGATTCGAACCTCGGACAGAACTACCAGTGTTCAGGGACTTTATCGCTAGGCCGCCGATGGGGCGAGGTTGTTGTTTAACGCTAACTTTTTTTTTTATCGTATTGAATATGAAGCAAAAACCATCTGGAAATTCTTATGCTTATGACTAAATATCTAGTTACACTTATTAGTTAACTATAAAGCCATGATGATATAAAAGCATTTACCTTGACTCTCTGCAAATCCACGGGATTCATGACGGTTCCTTGAAAAAATTCGACTGTCGTGAAATGCCTCTTGAAGAGACCCTCCAACTCTAAATCAGGAGGTTTCCTATAAAAAATTAAATTTGTGAAATATGTGATAAATTATAAGCATAAATAATTGACTGATTTTATAATTTTGATATAAGATATACAGGGTGTCAAGTAAATGTTGCGACAAACTCTTCGGGGAGATAGGGCACATCATAAGGATTAAGAATTGCATAGGAATCCATGCCCGGAAATGTCAGGCGTAAGTGGTAGCAGAGGTAGAAGATGGGAAAAAGAAACAAGAGTGATTAATTTGAAACATTTATCGGATATGAATACAAATGGTGTACGGCAGCTTGAATGTTACAACAGATGCTCGAAGTTTGCAGCATGAGACGCCGAACATGCCTGACATCGACGGACCATCGATTGCCAGACATGTTCAAACACCACGGGGGTTTCTTTGATTGTAGCAGCTGCGCAGACGAGTCTTGCCACGAGATCCATTTCAGACACAACAGGGTCGTGAAACACGACACTTTTAATGGCTTCCCACAAAAAGAAATCAAGACTGGATAAATCCGGTGAGCATGGGGGCCAGAGAAATGGTCTACTACGCCCAATACATCGATGCGTGAATGATCTGTTCAAATGGCTACGAACATCCAGTCCAAAATGAGTCTACTTCTTAATGACCCGTAGTCGCTCAGATTTTGACGCAGACGTGCAAACAAACTGTGGTGTGGTTGATGGTCTGTCGGAGAAGCTTTCTCGATAAATGCATGCAGCGGCTCGTCCATTACCTTCAGCTATTCCATTCATTAAGTACATGTCTGCAAGCTCTCCATTCGTATATCGTTCCATGCTCTTCGTATGGTGCCTACCGCTCGAATGAGGCAATCCTAACTTTCCACTAGCACTCTCCTGTACAGCTCCCCTCGCGGGGTACAAGGACGTTTCTGGGCATAGGTTCCTTTGCAATTCGTTACCCTTATAATGTGCCCTACCTTCCCCGGAAGTTTGTCGCAACATTTAAGGGACACCCTGTATAGAATTTTGAAATCATTTTTCAAGATCTTATTATACTCAATAATTTTCAAAAAAGACGGCTTGTGTCTTGAAGACCGATAAATTATACACAGAAGGGATACATCAGACAAGTGTTAATTGTTAATTAAACAATTTTTAAAAAACTCTTCAATATTTGGATACGTGTTCTGAAAACAAGCTTTTTAAATAAGTTGTTTTTCACTTTTACAGAGTTTTTAACTAGCAGAAGTACAGACTGAGAAAACTTGGATCGATTTTTAGAAAACTCGTTTCGAATGTTTAGATAACATGTCCAGGTACACTTTTCCAACATATCTTTGAACTTAGGGAATATATTTTTAGTATATACTTTTTCTTAACACGTTTTTTTCTAAACGCATAAAACACGCTTTGATGAAAAGAATACTTTTATGGACAGACGTAAGTAAAGTGTAGCTTTGTAGGTATATTTATCTTTTTGCTTCATTTCGACAAACTCAATGATTCTTTCATTTTGCATCCTTTACCAGTTTGGCGTTTGCACAAGAAAGATCACAAAAACTATTAAAGTATTTACTTGGAATCCGTGTCCGTTATTAATAAATTAGAGATACATTAGACTCCGCTAAATATGATCATCAATATCAAATTAGACTCCTCTGAATATGATATCGATGATGTTCGGATATTGTTATCGAATTGCTGAAGGTCCCGCCCACTTGTATGCAAAGCCATAGAAAAGACAGTTAATACGAGGTGTGACAAAAAAAAAAAAAAAAGAGACTAAGTGTGTAGCTTGAAAAAATAGTGGCAACAACTGTTTGGATGACGTCATCCCACACACCTCCTCTATCCATGCGGCCAGTTTCGATTTAACCGATCAGACCAGTTGGGAGCACTGCATCATTGAGTGAACATGTGCAACTGCATTCTGCCGGAAAAAATGTCTAATGTAAAAGCAGACCGGCAAATCAACATCAAGTTTCTTGTGAAACTTAAGAAATCAGCCACGGAAACATTTCAAATGTTAACTGAGGCTTTCAAATGTTATGGAGATGCAACTTTGTCTCGTGCACGGGTGTTTGAACGGCATAAGCGGTATTCAGGGAGAAAGGACAAAGCGCGCATGTCAAAATCAAAATTCAAGGCAATGTTAATTGTGTTTTTCGATTTTAACCCTAGAATGCTACCCCTTGAAAAACTGAATGGTGAATGGCAACCATTCGTCTCCGAGACGAAGTATGCGTAAGAGTGCTTAAAGCGTATTTTAAAAGCTAATTAGAATAAAAGTATACCACCTTCAGGTGATTTCATGACTCTCGAACTTTAAGTAGGCAAGAAAACATAATTTATTTATTTTCAAAGCAGTCTTTACACGTATTAGCGTGACGTTCTCCGCACATTGCTCTGCAACATGTTTGACAAAAGTTGCGCGTCATTCTGTGCAAATTGTGCAGGCAAAATGCACAAATTTTTCTTTTTTTACCGTTTGGTTGTTTAGGAGTTGAATGTTCAAATCTAATTTCAACAGTTCCGTTATAATGGTTCCTGTTGATCGAGACAAAGTTGGTATGTTGATACGTTTCTTCCTCCATGGAGCGATAAGATCTTCACTTAGCTTTATTGCGAACTTTTTCTCGATAATACCTTTGCAGATTTTCGAGCCATACTAAACTGATATTAATCATGCCATAAAACACGCACAGAGGCCATCGGTGCGTTTTTCTACTACACGACATATTGCTGCACATCTGTTCTAATGTGTTTACGGCCCCTTTTGTGAAATTATAAAATTCTATTAATTCCGGTTTATTACTTTCTTGATTTACATTTAATTTTTCATGAAATGCTGACAGAAGAATAACACACTTATTTGGTTTTGTTTTATATAGGACAGAAGAGTTTTCGCTTTGTCAAAATAATACATTTAAGTTCCAACACTTCGAAAACGCAACTGTAAGAGTTCTGCAGGAAATTTTTAGTTTCATTCTCTTTTTTAGCTTCATAGTTCAACTTCATATTTTCATTTTCCCCCTAAGGTTTATTTTTCAAGAATTGTTTCTTCTTCTTTTTTATTGTTAAGTGGTAATTCCTCATTTTCATCTTTGTCGCTATCTGCCAATTCATGATTTTCAATGTTAGTAAAATCTTTTTCTGATTCATCTTGCGAAATAGAATTTTCTTAATCACTTAGTTCTTTTAACAGATTCCGGATAGCGCGCACTTGAAGATGGGTTGCCTTGAAGTTGTCCAAGCGTTTTCTCCGCGAAAACGCTTGGACACCTTCAAGGCAACCCATCTTCAAGTGCGCACGTTACAGCTAACCATTTCTCTGTGAGACGAAATATTGTTCTAAAAATGCCACTTGCGGAAATATTTCTCGAAGAAGGAATGTTCTTATCTGTAGTAGCCATGGTCATATAAAGGTACTGAGTAGCGTCCTATTTCCTGTTTCAGGGGAGGCAGGTCAAAGTTATTTGTAATGGGCTTCGTCTAGGAGACGAATGGGTAGCATTCTAGGGTTAATGAAATTGTAATGATTGAGTGGGTTTCCAGCGGTTAGACTGTTAATCAACACTACTACATTGAACTACTGAAAAGATTTCGTGAAAAAATAGGAAAGAAAGTCCACAGTTGTGGAGTGAAGGATGGCTGTTGCACCAGGGCAGTGCACCCGCTCACACGCAATATCTGTCGAGCAGTGGTATTTCATACCACGATGTTTTAGAACTGCGATGTTTTACTCTTTGCTTTCTTTTGTACCACGAAGTTTTCGCCTTGCGTTGTTTTCTCCGCGACGTTTTCGTTTGCGATGTTTTCGACGGACGGCGCCAGATTATGATCCCAAATATATTGCGGGCGCAAGAGCCATTTTATGCATCCAGTTCTGGAATTAGCGAAGATCTCTAATACGCCAAAATTTGCAACTTTTGTTTTATTCATGTACTCGATCACCTCTGAAAATTTTGTGTTGGCCGGCGCGATATCCTTATTTGTGAGCATGTTGATTATTTTGTATTTTAAAGGAGAAAAACTGTACGTACCTATGAAGGAAAACGACTTCAACATCGACGTCTTCCCTGTCCTCGTGAAGGAAGTCTTTCAAGAAGTAGGACACAGAGTCATAGTTGATGTGCCCGCACACCACGATGTGTCTGAAATACATTTAGAGACACTGAACACACTGGGATAGAGTAGAAAAAATTATCCAGATCCTAGTATGTAATATTTAAGACAAACCATTAATTGATTGCATTTTAGTATAATAGAATACGGAGTTTAAATTACATTAATTAAATTTTATTAAAAAATAATTAATTCATTTTAAATTTTACATTAAATCTCGGTTTTAGGATTTAAAGCTTATTTTCCTTTATGTATGAGTTTTGTTTTCACGATCATTCTGATATAGTGATCCAATTCATGAGATGATTAATGAACGGTTGGGGGGATGACGAAAATTCTTTTGCTAAATAAATCTCAATGGATGTTTATTTTTAAGAAAATTTCTCTGTTGAAATTAGAAAGAAAAGAACTGCTGTATTCAAAAATAGCCGGTAATAAATATTTAAGTAGCAGGAATTCTGAATTATAACACATTGTGAATTTAGTGGAAAGAAAACAGTTTAACTTTCTGTTTTTCTCCCTTAGTTAATAAGGGAGAAAAACAAAAAAATTAGTTTTTGGAAATTATATTAAACAAATAACTGCTCTTCACAATAAACTGAGCATTATACATTTCTGATGCATTTAATCTATTTTTGAAGCTTTTTCATACTTAATTTTGCTTCTTCAGTACCAGTTGCCAGATCGTTGCCCTAAAGCAGGGTATATTAAACTGTGGGTCGCGACTCCTTGCAGCAGGGGGTGGCCAAAACTTTTAGCAGTTTTGATATCTCTAACTTATTATAATAATCTTACAATTACCAAATAATTTTACACAATGTATCTGAAAATAGATAAAGATAAGACAATAAAGACAAAAAAAAATTTTTTTTTGACGGGTTCTTTTTATAATGCAGGGTGCGGCAGAGAAACTACCTTATTTTTAAAATGAATAACGCAAATAGTATAAGCAATATCAGTTTAATTTTTTTCCCTAGTTATAGAGAGACACTTAAAGTTTTTTTTTTTTTCGGTTTAAAAATAATATCATTAAGGTGGCCTCCGTTCCGGTCAATGCATTGAGATAGTAGAGTTTTGAAGTTTGTTTCCACTTTTGCCAGCATATCAACGGATATGTTGTCGATAGCAGCTGGAATATTGTTCTTCAGTTGAGCCAGGATCTTTGGACGTTAGAGATTTCAGATAGCTCCACAATGTATGTGTGTGCGTGTGATTATGGCAAAGCCTCGAGGGCTATCTGCCTAAGGGAAGGAATGCCTTCGTGGAGGACGTTTTAAGGGAAACTGTACACACGGGGAAAACTACGAAAACGCCCAAATAGCGCCACAAAAAGAAATCACACGGGGCGGAATCAGGCGAGTGCGCTGGCCACTGACAATCGCCCCGTAAGAAGATAAGGAGTCCAGGGAAATATTCTCCAAAAAATCATGGTGCAATGATGCCTATTCTGGACAATGACAGCAAATAGTCACACGTTCTGTATGGAAGGGCTGCTCATGAAATTCTCGGGGATTCGTGACACTCCATTATCGGTTGGTTTGATTTATTTAATTATGGGAGAGCACACTAGGGCTCTCTGCCTAAGGGGAGGGACGTCTTCGTGAAGGACGTTCTAAGGGAAACTGACTCGTATACACGTTACACATGGGGAAAACCACGAAAACGCCCATGCAGACAGCCCGTTCGCGGGATTCGAACCTCGAACCGAAACTACCAGTGTTTAGCGCGTACCGCTCGGCCCGCCTGGTTCCATTATCGCATATTTTGCTTATACATGCTGCAACAGGAAGATGAAAATGAGCCTCATCGCGAAAGAACACGAGGGCATCACGAGGGTGTTTAAGAACGGATTTGCATGCAATTTTTCGTGAAAAGAAAATCGCGGGATAAGTTTTTGCACCACTGCAATTTATATGGATGAAAATGCAGTACGTTGAAAAGTACGACTCCACGGAGAACGCGCGTTCCTCTCTCTTCCACTACATGATCGGTACTAAACCTACATGATATAAAACTTCAGATACCGCTCTTTTCAATGAGCGCCACCCCACCCTTCTCGGAATAAATGTCGTTCGATGGCGCGCGTTTCAAATAAGGAAGCTTTCCTGCAGCACCCTGTATAAACGTTCATTTCCTTTGCTTTGCACGTGAGGCTGTCATTTCGTCTGTTACTTATTTAAAACTTTCACATTGTTCTATGTCTTAAAATTAGATATTGAAGTTAATGACCTAAAACTACAGTAGTATATTACAGTACAAGTGAAAACACTGGCAGTTTCACTGACGCATGGGTCGGATTTGTGCAATACTTATGGGGTTCCACAACATTTTTATAAATATTATGGAGTCCTGGGGGTCACGAAAAAATCTCACTGATAAAAAGGTATCGCGACTGAAAACAATTTAAGAAACCCTCCTCTAAGCCTCATTTCGTTTAAAAATTGGCATTGCTGCAGAGAATATGAAGCTAGAAAACTTCATATTCTGTATCAGGGACGGAGTACATGATTGTAGTGTCGCTGAGGAAGGGGGGACTTAAAAATATGCGTCTCCCAAAATTCTCTCAAGAATTAGTAGTAAGATAAGAGTGGCACAGGAGGTCATAGGTTGCACTGTCTTGTGGTTCCTATATTTTCGATCAAATCACTGAAACTAAGCAAACGTTATAATGTGCAAGATATACAGGGTGTCCCATTGGAAAAAGGCGTCGGGAAAAGTGTGATAAAAATCTTATAACTGAAGGAAATGAAACCAAATTTTCACAATATATGCCTGTAAGGTTTCTCGTAAGTTTTTAACAGTTATTTTGAATTAAAGCTATAAGGTATTCCTCTCGCCTTCTTAGCGAGCCTTCGTGGTGTAGTGGTCTGCACGCTCAGCACGTAATTGAGAGTTACGTGGTTCGATTTCCGGCGAAGGGGTTGCATATTTTTCCTCTTGCCTGCCTCCCAAAAATTACCTAATGTCTCTACAGTGGGGCCCGAACTAAAAAGGATGTTGGATGATGATTCTCCTCACCCAGGATTTGGCAATTGGGTCCCCTAAAACCCAGTCGCTCTTTAAAAGGGGGGAGTACATAAGGTATTTCTCCCGCCTTCTTATCGAGCCTTCCTGGTGTAGTGGTCTCCACGCTCAGTGCGTAATTGAGAGGTACGTGGTTCAATTCCCGGCGAAGACGTTGCATATTTTTCATCTTGCCTTCTTCAAAAAATACCTGATGCCTCTACAAAGCTACTTTCCTCTCTATCCTGATTTCAGCTGTTTCCTACCAGAATGTGTTTTTAGAATCGCGTTTGCTGCAAATGAGTAAGAGTAGTATTAAAGACGAAGTTTTACTGACTTCCAAAGAGACTTTCTGACTACCACGCGTTTGCCTTTTGAGTACGTCTCTCTAAGCTGTTACTACGCTCGGTCGTGTTACAGACCCTTGATAGCTTCGCTAGCTTATTCGATATTTAGGGGCCAGCTACGTAGAATCTTGATAGCTTCGGCTATATCTCTTTAGTTAAGCATTAGTTAAGCTTATTTCTTACTATTTTAAGTTCAAGCCCAAATGGAGGCTTTACTGTACACCCTGATAAAGGGGCCATCTGTTAACTCTTACTTTGAGCAATAAATAGTAATTAACCCTTCTCAAGTTTCTGTTACTGAACTAAAGCGATTATTCGCTTAGCTGTTCACGAGGTTCCTCCATATTGAGTTGTTAGATAAAAGGGTGGAATTCCGCATGCTTTTATGTTTGAGAAATGAAAATGCATTAGAAGAGGTGCTGGACGTGGCCTCCTCCCACCTGTGTACGCAGTTGAACACGGTGTTTCATTTTCGAGTATGTTGCTCCCAGATTATACGTGGTAGAGTGATGAAGCGTGTCTCCACTTGTTAGGATAGGTGAACTAACGAAACACACGTTTAATGCAGTAGTGACAACCAGCATGCCGCCGACGAGGAACCCTTTTATTCACAGAAGATGGGTGTGTTTTGTGCATTACCACAGCGGCGCATCATTGGGCCGATTGTTTTACATTATTGTCACCAGTGAAGTGTACCAGGCACTTCTTCATGAATTTGTGAACGATTTGGGTGATCAGGAGCTGACACTTGGCTTACTAGCAAGATGTCACAACATGCCACACATCTGTAGCGAATATGAACGCGGTAGAATCTCTTTTCCAAACTTGATTCCCCTTGAGCTTTTTCTATGGGGTCGCCTTAACTCTTTGAAGGGCGGTGGTTACCTACAGTAACCACCTTTTCTAGTGAACGTCTTACTGACTCGTCAGTGGTAATCAAGACTGACCATTTGTGAAGTTCCCTTGTAGCTCACTAGATGGCAATCAAGAAATATAAGCCAGTCGTTGATGCAGCAATTCAAGAAAATAAGCATCAGCCTTCGAAGACAACATCACGACGATGCAGCACCAAGAAAAAGACTGTAAGAACAGTGCGGGAATGCAGCACATGCAAAGTTGCATTCACATTGGAAAAAAAAAACAACTGTTTCCAAGACTACCATAGAGACTGATTTGCAGGGATGTGTTCTGTGGGCGATGGTCACTGACCCTCACCGCCAGAAGGGGTCATTTTGTTCACGCGTCTTGTACAAAATTGTCGCAAATAATTTCATCGTAACAACTGATATAGTAAATGAAACAAGAGCGTTGCTGGAAAAGTTAATTGCCTTTTCTTGCCCCTCAAAGTGTTAAAGGTAACAAGCACAAAACACGCACATCGACGATTTGGTTCAGAACGTCCGTCGTAAAATCCAAGGACTGACGTCCAATACTCTGGTAGCAACATACGCGAACATGCAGAGTCATGTTTAACTGTGTCTACAGGTAGAGAGAGATCAGCACCTCTTGCAATGCACTTTCATTTTTCAAACATAAATGTAAGTCTTGTAAAAACTTGGTTTCGTTTCCTTTTATTATAAGATTTTTATCACACTTTTTCCCGGGGCCTCTTTCGAGTGAAACACCCTATACTTTAGGTTTGTGATTAACGAAAATGAGTAGCCTTTTGATCTAAGTCC